GGGGGGGGGCATTTTATAGAGTTTTAAAGCAAAAATCGGATTGACATATCAATTTGTCATTTTTTATCAGAAAAAAAAATCAAATTTGTAATTCATGATATACCGTATCAACCTTGACAAATCACGAATCAAAATGAATCACAATTTTTCTGATTCATGCCCATCTCTAGTTGCCATAAATTGGAAGCAACAAGTTAGCTCACAACAAGAAACTGTCTTCTGAGAAATGTAGCAAAATACTGTAGACGAAATTAAAGTTATTTGTGCTTTTTTTAAAAAGTCACAGCAATATATTTGCCACAAGGATGACTGGGTACCTGAAGAGATCACAAAGATTTGCTCTGTAGTAGCCCCGCCGCCCAGGCCCGCGTGAGGCTGCGAGGCCCTGAGGCGGCTGCGGAGGAGCCGCTGCTGCAGTTGCTGCTCCGCCGACATGCCTCCCAGGCCCCCTCCGCTCATGACGCCGCCCGGTCCGCTCGGAAGGGAAAGAGAGACGGGCGCCGCGCAGCAAACGGGCGCCCGCGAGGACGGCAGTCGCGAGACCTTCACTCAGGAAGCGTGCCGATTGGGCGTCTCCAGAGGAAGAGGCGTGGCCAGAAAGGGTGGGCCCTGTTAAGAAGCGGAAACGAGAGGCAGGGTGGGAAGCGTTCGAGTCGTAACCCTTTGAGCGCCGGCATAAGAAAGAAAAAAAAAGAAGAAAAAAGACAAAAAAAATTATAGGCTGGTGCGGTGGGATTAGGGGACACGTGGCCCTATCAAGTGGAAATAATTTTTTTAAAAAAACCCTTCAGCGCTGCCAGTGGCCCCTAATGGGCGAGGTCTGCTTACTGTATTCCTATAATATTTTTTTAAAAAAGTTTTTTTTCAAGAAACTTTTGGGATTTGGATCCTGTCAAGTTGTTGAGTTGTCACAATACTTGAACAGCTATGAAGGGGGGGGGCTCTTCCAACGCAGTTCACTTTAAAAAAAAACAAAAACTGTGGACTAGTTGCATCTGGGACCCTGAAGCTCAAGGTTCATGAGTTTCATAGCAGAGCCGTCCTCTCATTCCCCCTCCTCCTTACATTTAGCAAACATGGTTAGGCAGATTGAGGTGAATTATTCAGAGAGCAGATTTTTGGGTGTCCTGACATAGTAATGAATCACTAGTTATTGAATGCATTGGTGCGTAGGGTATGTTTATCTTTCTGCTTTATACATCTTGTGTCAAAATACTGTAACAACATCTGGCAGAGTGGACTGCAGTCGACAAAAGTTAGGTGAAAATAAGTTTCTTAGTCCTCAAGATGACTATACAACAAGAACAAATATTTTGTATTTCTGTTGCAACACTCTAATTCCCCCCCCCCATTTGTATATGGGTTGGGGTTTATTGTGGGTACTTGGGTGGATAAGGAGGGCCGCTTCAGGCAGCAAAATGCCTTGTTAGCTAGTAACAAGCTGTGCCAGCAGTTCTAATAGGAGTGATGGGATTTGCAGTCAAGGAATAACTGGGAGCCCCCAGGTTCATATCTCTTATAAGCTTGCACACACAGAGACATGGGTATTTTTCTTAGTTACCACATTTGTGAAAGGATGATGAAGAGCTGGAAAAGGTATAGAAAAATGTAATCAGAATGAGTGATGACTGCAGTAACTCCCCACAAAGATCACACTATTCGAGGCCATGTTTGAAAAGCAGGAAGAAAGGGGAGACATAATAGTGGTGTATAAAATTATGTCATGTGGAGAAACTACATAGGGTTACCAGTGACTAGTAAGGAGAATGATTATATGTAATCTCTAAAACTGGGGCAGTTATCAGTTACTGGAGAGCATGACCACTATTTGCATAAAAATGCCTGAGTACATGGTTGCAGTGAATGTATGCAATAACACATTTTTTGGCACAGCATGTATTAAGAGGAGGGACAGATTTTACTTTTTTGCGCTCCATGATCACTGCAGATGGTGACAACAGCCACGAAATCAAAATACGCCTGCTTCTTGGGAGAAAAGTGATGACAAACCTCGACAGTATCTTAAAAAGCAGAGACATCACCTTGCTAACAAAGGTCCGAATAGTCAAAGCTATGGTTTTTCCTGTAGTGATGTACGGAAGTGAGAGCTGGACCATAAAGAAAGCTGACCGCTGAAGAATTGATGCTTTTGAATTGTGGTGCTGGAGGAGGCTCTTGAGAGTCCCCTGGACTGCAAGGAGAACAAACCTATCTATTTTGAAGGAAATCCATGGGGTCACGAAGAGTCGGACACGACTAAACAACAGCAACAAAAACATGGTGGCACTGTGGATTAAACCACAGAAGCTTCTGTGCTGCAAGGTCAGAAAGTCGTAAGATCGAATCCACATGACGGACTGAGCTCCCGTCGCTTGTCCCACCTAGAAGTTCGAAAGCATGCAAATGCAAGTAGATAAATAGGTACCACCTTGGTGGGAAGGTAACGGCGTTCCGTGTCTAGTCATGCTGGCCACGTGACCACAGAAGATTGTCTTTGGACAAACGCTGGCTCTACGGCTTGGAAACGAGGATGAGCACCACGCCCTAGAGTCGGACACGACTTGACAAATTGTCAAGGGGAACCTTTACCTTTACCTATGTATTAAGAGGCATCAGTTTACATGAGTTTAACAGCCTCTTCTGATTTTGCCTAATGCACCCATTAGAACACTGTGAAATTGCAGCATTTTCTCATGTTTCTGTGCTTTTTGTTTATATTTTTTATCATGATGCCTTTCAACACATATGTAATATAGATCTAGCACATGTATTTGTTATTTTATACAGAGATTGAAATATTGGGTGTGACTGAGAAATTCTGTATTTGCATATATTCTTTAACAAAACCATTTGTTTTCCTCCCTCCCTCACTACTAATGAGCTAACTTTAAACAATGGTAATTTTGATCCATAGGCATAAAACAAAATCTGAAATTCACAGAGGGGCAGTTTCTTCAACTGACTTGTTCTAGGCTTAAAATTTAATCTAGAACTTTGGGTGTCCATGGAGACTCAGGTGGCGTCGGTGGTCCGCACCGCCTTTTTTCATCTCTGGTGGATAGCCCGGCTGCTACCCTATCTTGATGTGGGGGCGCTCACCACCTTGGTCCATGCGCTCGTAATCTCAAGATTAGACCACTGTAACACGCTCTACGTGGGGCTACCTTAGAGGCTGCGCGGAAACTCCAAGTGGTGCAGAATGCAGCGGCCAGACTCCTCAGTGGAGTGAGAAGATACCATCACATCTCTCCTATCCTGGCCGCGCTGCATTGGCTGCCCATCCGGTTCCGCGTTGACTTCAAAGTTTTGATGCTTACGTTTAAAGCCCTAAACGGTTTAGGGCCTCGATACTTGGTGGAACGCTTACTCCCACCCAGCTCTACCCGTGTCCCCCGTGCGAGTCAGGAGGTGAGGCTGAGAAGCCTGACGCCGAGGGAGGCCCGGAAGGAAAAAACAAGAAACCGGGCCTTCTCGGCGGTGGCTCCTCCCCTCAGGAACAACTTACCTCCTGAGATTCGCGCAGCTCCCTCGCTGGGTATTTTTAAGAAACAACTGAAAACATGGATGTTTAGGCAGGCCTTCCCCCTTTCCAGCTAATTCCTAATTACAGTGGTGCCTCGCTTAACGATGTTAATTGGTTCCAAAAAAAAACATCGCTATGGGAAAACATTGTTAAGCGAAACACCATTTCCCATAGGAATGCATTGAAAACCGGTTAATCTGTTCCAATGGGAATGGATTACCATCCTTAAGCGAAAATCGCCATAGGAAACATCGCTAAGTGAAACAATGTTTCCCCCAACGGAAAGCCATTCAAAAGCATTGCCGTCGGCTGCAATGCTTTTGAATGGCTTTCCGATCTCCATTTTCGCTCATTTTTAAGTGTCTTAAAATTTTTGAAACCTGTTTTAAATACTTGGATTCGGTAGTGCACCTTGTGAAACATGTGCAAACTTAATTTGGCTCTGTTCTGAGTCTTCGTTAATTTTTGGTGATTTTTTGTTTCCCCATTTAAATCCATTGAACTGTCCTATTCTTTTTTTGCTTCCTCCCAAGTGGCTAGTACTTGGTGGTAGATTCAGCTATGGACTGGTTCTTAAACTGGCCCTTAAGAAATGTAAAACAAAAGAAGAAAAAACCTCCCCTCTTTGTCCCCTAATCTTGTCTCTCATTTCACGAAGGAAATCTTCAATTAAAAAAAATTATAGTGAAGGAGTACATCAGCATGTTTCTAATTTTAAAAAAAGTTACTTCCTCTGTCCCTTCATGGAGCAGAGGAAGTGTTTAATTTCCCAATATTATCAAGTTGCAAAGCTGTCTTAAGTCACTTAACAATACGGCAAACTGAAAGAGGACAGCAAATTTAAAACTGCAAACTCTGCTTTGGTTAATTTCCAGCAATCAAATATGCTGGAAATGAACCAAAATGGAGCCACCCTTCTCACATCAAAAAAGTATTAAACTCTGACAAAGACCCAGAAAGATGTAGTTAGAAATGTTCTGGGGATGAGCTGGTTTGGTCCAGCAATTATATTGTGCATTTGCTGGGAAAAGAAGTGAACCAACCCATCCCTGTAGGACAATGCTCCTCTGATTGCACCCTCAGTTATTGCCCACCCCTGGAAGATAATGAGGGGGAATGGCATTCTTCAGAAATCCAGATTTGCTCTTAGGACCTCCAGTTGCTGAATCCTAGTTGAGATGACAGTAATCAAAAAAGAGAAATCTTCAAAAATCTGTTAGACACAAACACAGAAGAATTTTCTGAGTTCACTAAAGAGCTTTTAATGTAACAACACATTTTCCCTCAGGATCAAAATATGTACATATCTACCAACTCTTAACAAAGAAGAAAACCACAACTTCCAAAAGTGCAAGGTTTGTTACTATGGATGCAATCTCTAAATCACCTACCACTGCAATCCTATACATGTTGACTCGAAAGGACATCCTTCTCTTATGCTTAATAAGAATTACTCTCTGATAAGTGGTTCATGATCTGAGGGGTGTGTGTGTGTTTAAAGCAGCAGAGGCACCCTGCTCGGACCATGGGACACCAATATAAAACAGTTTTCCCTTAATCATCCATATTTCAATTGAAGTCAACAAGTCTGCAAAAGATACAACAGCAAACATTTCAACTTATTCGGTTCACTGGTTACAGTAACAGCTGCTCCAGTCCTTCAAACTAGGCTAAATTAACTGCTGTGCTTTTCTCAAGAGAACTCCAAGAGGGGCTGAGTTATTTCCAAAGTGTGTGGGAAACTATACACCAGAGGGTTCCCCTGAAAATTCAGAACAGGTTAATCAGCATCTTTTTTTTTTCAGCACATATATAGCCAAGGACTACTGCCCCAAAGTTATCCATATACTTATTTTTGGTGGCGCATCCAGCTTATCCATAAATAGACATGCCTCTGGTATGTTAGCCTTTGCTCCCTCCCTTTCTTGACTCTGCAAACAATGCAAAATCCAGCCCAGACATAATGGATTAAAATAAGAGAGAATAGCTGTAATGTACACAAAAATAAATAGAAACAATAGGATGGGCATGACTCAATTGTTGGAGAGGGGGACGCAATGTGACAGAATTGGAGGAGGTTTTGTATGATGTCACACCCAACAACCTCCATCATGTGAGAAATCTAAGGCTAAAGCAGTGCTCATCAGATGGTCCTTCACCCTTTGCTGCAAGAGCTCCAGCCAAGGGAGTCTATTACTGTATGTGGCTTGGCAATCTGATCTTCCATCAACCCGCTTCAGAAGTTTCTCCTAATTTTCAACTAAAAAGTTACTGCCCTGTAGCTTTAAGTGCATCAGATCATGTGCCCCCACCAGGTGTTTGTTGGGTTACAATACCCATCAGCCTTTAGCCAGCATAGCCAATAGTCAGGATTGATGGGAGCTCCAGTTTTAACAGCTGCTGAGCCACATACTCCCCATTTCTGTATTAGACCTAGCTGTGACCTTTGAACTAAAAGAGAACATGTCTTTGCCTTCCATAAATAAAAATAAAACATTACTACTGCTGTCAGTGCTACCAATAAGAAGGGTAGGAGGGATATATGGGAGGGACTGTGACTCATCAGTACAGCCTATATACATTTTGCACAGAAGAACCCTGGTTAAATATCTACCTTCTCTATTTTAAGGCTTTGTGTAGAAAAGGCTCAGGACTAGATGGGAAGTGAATGAAATGGAACCATCAACCAAAATTAATTAATTATTTTTTAAAAAAAAAAATCTGAAATTGAGTTTTTGGGCTGGAGAACCAGATACAAAAGCCATTGAGCTATCCAACAATTCTAGCCATTGGCCATACTGGCTTTTTCTCTTTCCCCACAAGCCAGTTCCTGGGTTGGGATGATGATACACCATCGTCAATGCACTTTGAACTCTTCCCAACTGAGGTTCTGGGTGGAAAAAAGAGGGAGTGAATCTGCGGCGCACAATTTCCCATTTCAGTTGCCAGCCTTCTCTCCAACATGCTGAGAGCTTGAGAAAGAGAGGGGAAAAAAAGCCAGGGAAAGGGGCTGGGTTGGACCGACCACAGGCTGATGTGCAGTAAGCGTGGAGACCGAAGAGTCGCCAATGCCATTCTAAGGGAATGAAGCAAGGGAGAGAATGGGACGTTGGATCCACTCCATAAGCTCTACTGAAGAACTGGCTCCAACAGGCTCCTACCTCCATCCATTATCAGGTGGCAACAACCCTTCCATCAGGCTCAAACAAGAGCACTTTGCTAATTGTTCAGGGAGACCAGCAACCTTTGGCTTCTCTCCTTGAGCTATTTCTATTTCTTTTTTATTTCACTTTAAATATTTATATTCCACCCAAATCTCAAACATCCTTGAGCAGTTAACCAAAAAAAATAAATAAATAAAATAAAAATAAAAAATAAAAAATAAATAAAAAACCACCACCACCACCCCAAAAAACAAAAAAAAACCACCCATCGATAAAATCACAAATTAACCAGGCTAAGTGGTACCTAAACATCAAAAATATTCCAATGTTAAGAGCAAGGGATACATAATTTAAATAGTAACAGGGCAGATAAAAAATCAAAGGCTGAGTACCTCTTAAAAGTATAAGGTCTTTGCTTAGTGTCTAAATGTTACCATTGAGGATGCTGGGCAGATTTCCATTGGGGAGGGGAGCACTATTGAAAAAGTTCTTTCCCCAGTGGGTGGCACAGGACACTCTCTGAATAAATAGGCATACTCCAGGTATCCCTTATGAGAACTTTGTTGCTCAGAACTCACAGCCAGAGATCACCTGTTGTTGTTTTATCCTTCTCCCTCCCAATGTCATTTCCTTTTGCATCGTGTCTTTTGGAACATAACCCTGGTGGGAGGAACTGTCTTATTATGATTCATTTGCTCTTGGAAACTTTTATGGCTCAAGCATGGGGTAAAAAAAGTTTCAAGAAAGACAGAAAACAAATAATATTTTGAAAGAGACGATTTGTTCAGATGTAAAAACAAGTCGTCTTTTAAAAAAGCTGAAATGCTCATTACCAAAGCCAGAAAAAGAATTATTTTGGTGGTTGTTGTGGGTTTTTCGGGCTCTTTGGCCATGTTCTGAAGGTTGTTCTTCCTAATGTTTTGCCAGTCTCTGTGGCCGGCATCTTCAGAGGACAGCACTCTTCAAACGTTTTGCCACAGAGACTGGCAAAATGTTAGGAAAAACAACCTTCAGAACACAGCCAAAGAGCGCGAAAAACCCACAACAACCATTAGATCCCGGCCATGAAAGCCTTTGCGAATAAATTACTTTGTTTAAAAAAAAAAAAGCTAAAACTAAACTTAAAAAACAAACACCAAAAATTCAAGACTTGTTTCTAAATAAGTGCAAGGGTTATTGTTAGCTGAGGTAATACCAGACTGAAGTGTAAAGAAATATATTCATATTCAGTCTGCAACGGAATATTTGTAATGATTCATATTTCAAAGAATGTATACGTGGTACAGTATTTAAAAAAATTAAAGCTAGGAAGAAGACAAAATTACTACTTTGCCTGTTTTCAAAGCTGGTGGTCTTTGGCTTGGATCCTAACTTTCAGTTCCATGGGCAGAAGACGCTTCCACTCATGGCAAGAGAAATGCATCCGTAGAAGCAGACCCTGTAAGTAGAAATTGAACCTCAACTCAACATTTTCCTGTGGAACATTACTTCTATTCATGGGATGAAAGAGCTGGGATCCAAGCCTTCCATCTTCCTTCTCTAAAATCACAATTCTGTGCCATTTTGGAGATTCTATTCCAAATGAAGCACAGATGAATTGCAGACGGTAAGAAGCCAAACGCTGCATTTCAGGGACACATTCTAAGCTCTGTAGTTAGGCCCCACACTTTAAAGAAAGGACAGATTTTCTCTCCAGCAAAATCGGCCGACTGGAAAATAAAAATGAGGGACATATAATCAGCATCAAAAAATGCCACCCAGCCTCGTTCATAATGCACAAACACCTGGATCTTCTCTGGAGTTTCATCGAGGGTGAGGCGTGTATCAGAAGATGTGAAAGCCTTATACTCATCGCCGCAGAGCCCCAGGGCCCAGATCCCCTCATCAGGGCATGTGGAAATTAGTCCCTTCCTCTTGATGGACTCTTTGGCAACGCCCAGAGCCCAGTTTTGCCCATCACCCACTTCTACCTCCCAGTAATGTATCCCCGAGGCAAATCTCTCACAGCCCAACAGAATAAGAGTGGCATCAAATCTCTCTGGATTACTGGGCAGTAGCTGAACCATGTCTCCTCTTTTCACGCTTTTCTTGTCTTCACTCACCACAAAGAGGGGATGAGCCGTGTTGGAATCCAGAGTGATGCTCACTGAGGGGAGAAAAAAGACAAAGTCAGTCAAACGCTGCCAAAACGAAGACCAAGATTTTGCAGAAGGAGATCTGGAAAAAGGAGATGAACTGGGTTAACAGTGTTGAAGCCTGAGAATAGACAGCTTTTTTTTTTGCAACAAGTGGGTTTCAAGTCCTCATGGAAGCCAGTAAACCCTGTGGACCTTAAAGTGCAGAGGGCCTGGAAATTCTTGGTCCTGAGGAAAGGAATAAGAGGAAAGACCTCCCCTCTCAGATTATTTTCCTTCATAACAAGCACTATGAGACTTTGTGAGTCCCCTTATTGGGAGAAAAGTGGCCTAGACTTTGGAACCCCCCTCCCACAAGAAGGCAAGATGGTCCCATCTGAGTTATCCTTCTGCAGAAGACAAAAGACCTTTCGCTTCAGGCAAACTTTCCCTTAATGACAGACTGCCTGAGCGGAGTTTTTAAATAGATAATTGTGCCTTACTGCTTTGAATGTGTTTTTGGTGTTGCTTTTGTTTACTGTCTTAAAGTATGGTAATAATTTGATCCTTTTCAGCATTTGTATACTTCCAGTTTTTAGCTTTAAATGTTATCTTTTAATCATGTAAGCCACCTTGGATCGTTTTTTAAGGAAAAAGATTCTCCTCACTTTTTGAAGGCAGGGAATAAAAAAAGAGATAGCTACATGGCTCTGGTGACAGAAATGTCCAAAATGTCTTCCAAAGTCCTTCAGAAGGAGTCTCATTGCACAGTGGCTAAACTGCAGTACTGCAGCCAAAACTCTGCTCAGGACTAGAGATGGGGGTATCCTCCCACAGGTGCAGATAACGAGGCTTCGGCCCTCTGGGGCCAGACCGACCACTCATAATTCCAGGGGGCTGGACCCTTGTTATCTGCATCCGTGAGGGGATATTCATATTTGTATACGGACATACCCCCATCTCTTCTCATGTCTTCAGTCGAGATTCAGCCAGCCTTCAAGATAGGTAAATTGAGTATCCAGTTCCTGAAGGGGAGGGGGCAATGTGTAGCCTGCATAATTAAATTGTAAACCGCCCAGAGAACACTTTAAGCACAATGGGAATGTATATAATCAGCACGCTTTGCTTTTTAGTAGCATGGAGGCACTGTGCTCAGTCTCTTATCACACACTGTAGAAATTTTAGGGGAAGGCCAAATAAACACTGCTCTTAGCCTTCTAGAGAAAGACGATTCCACTTAAAAGCAAACTCACCCTTTTTAGCTGATGTTTCCATTGACCTTGCTTTTGCTAATTCAGATACCACTGTCTCTAGAGAAAAAAGAATTTAAAGGTCAGGACACTGTGATCATTACTGTTGACCATGAAGAAAGACAAAGTGTTGAAGCTGCTTTGAAGGGCGGAGGTGAGGGGCATGCAGAAGAGGATAAAAGTGTGAAAAGCACTATTATTTTATGTCGCACTATCCCACTGGGAAACTGAGTGGGAAACAAGAGAGGAAAGGCATCCAATCAGTTATAGCATTTAGTATTGAAGTAGTACAGTGGTGCCCCGCATAGCAACGATAATCCGTTCCAAAAAAATCATCGCTATACGGATTGGTCGCTATGCAGGGCAAAGAAGCCCATAGGAACGCATTGAAACCCCTTCAATGCATTCCTATGGGCAAAAAACTCACCGTTCTGCGGAAATCCTCCATGCGGCCGCCATTTTCGCTGCCCAGTATGCGAGGAAAGGGCGCGAAAACAATGCAGGCGGCCATTTTTTCCGGCGGCCATTTTGGAACCGCCGATCAGCTTTTAAAACATCGATATGCGATAATCGGTAAGCAAAATGCTTACCGATCATTGCAAAGCGATGTTTTCCCATTGAAAACATCATTATGCGATCGCAAATACCTCATCGCTATGCGGATTTGTCGTTAAACGAATCACTCGTTACGCGGGGCACCACTGTATTTAGTATGACAACAACCCTGGTTTTGACCTTAGTGGTTGTAAGATAACAGCTGGGAATGAGCGCTAGACAAAACTCAGAATCCACAAGCAGCTACATGATAATTAATGATTTCACACAAAACACTGAGGGGCATTTTAACCTTCCACCTGCTCAATGGAGAGCTGCATCATGGACTACAAATATATCATTGTGACTGGAGATGCAGAGTGACAGTTCATTAGGCTGAGGAAATTTTAATAAAAGGCTCACACAAACCTAAGTATAGGGGAGATTTTCTATCTAAGCTGCAAGTGCTGAAACAAGGAGACAAGGGGTCTGGGAAGTACAGAAGCCAGGAATCAGGATGAGCGTGCTTCCATGTTTTGTGCAGCTCCAAATTTTATGGTTCTATACACTGAGTCCCCAAATCCACTTGTTTGGTTGTGTTTTTTTTAAAAAAATTCTCTCACACCTTTATTCCTTTCACCCCAAAATCTTTGTTCTGGCCTGTTGCCAAGTGTTCTTTCAGTTGATTCTGAACCTCAATAGCTGTACTTCTTCACAGACAACTGAGGTATATAACACAATAGAGGTATATAACACACTAGAGGTATATAACACCCTCAATAGCTGTACTTCTTCACAGACAACTGAGGTATATAACACAAGGTTGAACTCAAGCGCTTGTTCCAGCGTAGATCCAATGAATCTGTAAATAAATAATAAATAATAATAATAATAAGGTTGAACTCAAGTGCTTGTTCCAGCGTAGGTAGATCCAATGAATCTATGGAACTTTCTAAGTCCATTTCATTCAATGGGTCTATTCCAGCTGAGACTTAACAGCTACAGTACATTGAACCCATAAGGCACAGTGCACTGTTACACAGAATGGAAACAAACCCTCCAATTGCCTCTTCTTAAACAGGGTAAATGTACTGGGATTTTTGGCTATTTCTGTATCAGGGCCTAGCAAAATGCATTGGAGGGGTGGTGTTGTGTGTGCCCCAGGAGCCCCACTGTGGCTCCCAATCCCCCTAAACCTCTATTTTAGAAAAACAGCCTGGAATAGCTGATTGTACTCTTAAATGGGGATTAATAGCCATTACAGTTCCTTTACAACTCTTCTTGACACCCATGGGGGGGTTCCTTTTCTCCAAATGGGGAATGATTCTTCCAGAAGTTGCCCACTCATTGTAAATGACATTGAGATGAACATTTATTACTGGTACCTCGACATTTCTCCAGTGCCTCCTTGATAACTATATTTTTCAGACTGAAATGCCCAAGCTTCTTTTCCAGCTCAGTCGGTGAGGAAGAAACTTCCACCAATCGATACAGCTGTCCTTCTTTACATCTACAGTAGAAATCCCTTAATCATTGTGTTGAAATCACAGCATGTTTCATATAATCTATGTAATCTCAGCATTTTACATACAATCCATGTGCTGAGGTAAGAGCTTAACATAAACAATGCTAAATCTGGCCCTTTCCCATCATATTGGGTATGATTATGTGATGCCACAGAATGTTCATCAACATTCTATCAGGTTAGAGGAAAGTCCGTTACTAAAATGCTAATTTACTCATTTATTTATTCTTTCAATTTGTATATCTCCCCACAGTACAAACACTCTCTGGACAGTTCACAACATAGTCATACTAAATCATGTTAAAAGAATAATGCAATACAATATACAAAAAAATTAAAAAATCAATAAAACCATTGTAACTGGCTAAACCTATCTTTAAATAAACAAATTTATAAAACTCTGAACATCTCAGATGACAAGCACTAGTAAAACACAGCTTTCAATAATTCTGTTTTAACTAATTTCTTAAAAACTGAAAAGGAAGGCAAACCTCTGTTGGAGGTTTGTTCCAGAGGTACGGGGCCACAACCAAAAAAGACAAGTTCCTGATATTCCTAAATGTTTAAGGGCTTCCTAGACAATGACCAGCACCTATAACTGCTAAGGCCATTCCTTCAATGGAACATTTATTTGGTAGAGAATATTTGGAGAGGATAACAGTGCCCTGAACAGAGAATGTGAACTTGCTAGACTTGGAAGGGAAGGCGCTGAAGGATGTGAGCGCCAGAGAAGCAGGAGGGAGTCTGGGCAGAGGAGGGACTGAGGGATTTGGGGAGTTGGAAGCCCAGAAAAGGAAATGTTCTAAGCTTTGCTCCTGCTATCATTCCAACATCTTTAGAACAAGACAGTGGTTCCCAACCATAACTCCCAGAAGCCTCTGCCAGCACAGCTAGTGAGTGGCAAAGGCGTCTGGCAGTTGCAGTCCAAGAACATCCAGGGACTCATGGTTGGGAACCCCTTGTAGGTTGTCTAGTGCCCTCCAGATGAGCCCATGGGACTACAGTTGCCACTGGTTCTGGCCAGCATCACCAGTGGCTATGAACTATGGGAGCTGCAGTCCCACACATTTGGAGAACACAAGATTGCCTACTTCTAATAGGCCAGCTCCTGCCCTCTTCTTCCTGCACCCTAACAGCTTGACTATGCAACAGCACAAATGAAAACCACTGAAGCCAAAGCTAACAGCCAATAATGTTATTAACTGCCGCCAGTTTAGGTATTTTAGAATGTATTTTATATTGTTTGGAATTATTGTATTTTATTTTATAACTACTCACAACAAAACCACTATATTATATGGTTTTGTTTGTGTTACTTTTGCATTGCCTTTCAGCGTGTCATGAGAATGGCTGACGGTCAGATTCCAAAAGATCTCCTGTATGGAGAATTAGTGCAGGGAAATCGCCCCAGAGGGAGACCACAGCTGCGATTCAAGGATATCTGCAAGTGGGATCTGAAGGCCTTAGGAAAGGACTTCATCAGATGGGAAACCTTGACATCTGAGTGTTCAGCCTGGAGGCAGGCGTTGCATCACAGCCTCTCCCATTTTGAAAAGACCCTTGTCCAGCAGGCCGAGGCAAAGAGGCAGTACCGGAAGCATTAAAATCAGGGAGCTGGACAGGGGCCAGATTGGATTTGTCTTCAGTGTGGAAGGGATTGTCACTCTCAAATTGGCCTTCTCAGCCACACTGGACACTGTTCCAAGACCTCTATTCAGAGCACATTACCAGTCTCTCGAGACTGAAGGATGCCTACTACTTTCGCATTGTGAACTGCCTTCTGTGGCTGCAGGCCAGATGGGTGGTATATAAGTTGAATGAATGAATGAATGAATGAGGTAGATAGAGAGGCCAGCATTTCTTTTTCAGATCAAATCCACAAAATCTTGTACTGAAGTACATGTTAGTTAAATGTCATAATTTGTTTTTATTATTTAAAAAAGTGGTGAAAACTTACCTGCTCAAAATGCTCCTGATGTCCTGGGGAATGCCAGGCCCAGCATGGGGTAAGGATGGAAAAGAGAGAGAAGAGCAGTCTCATATTTATTTTGCTCAAAAATAATTTCCAAAGTAAGGAACAGACATGATGGTGCAAATAAAGAGAATATGGCTTAAGCAATGATTTAGACTGCAATCTGATTTAAATACCAGAGTAGACCTTTGGTCTAGATGGGCGGAGTAGAAATAAAATAAATAAATAAATAAATACCAAATCAGCCATGATTCACTGGGTACTCTTTGTTAATTCCTTTAATCTCCAGTAATCTACTCACAACAAAACAGAATTCATGATGACCTGACATGCAAAATCGTAAAGATGAACGAGACAAGCACTGGAAACAGGCCTAATAGTGGCAGAGTCAAGGCAAGACACTGCAGCAACCCTTGTAACCAGGCATGCATCCTAATCATCTAAAAGGTGGCAATTTATTAGTTATTTATTAAATATCCCACATTTCTTCCAAGGAGCTAAATGGCTTGCCACCTCTCCACTTCTTCATATTATCCCAATAACCCTACAAGGTAGATCAGGCTGAGAGAGATTGACTGGCTTGAGGCTATCCACTGCATGAAGAGTAAGGGAATTCAGTACCTAGTGCCAGAAATATAACAGCTCTTGATAAGGCCAATATTTAGCTTTGAATAAGACTTTTTTTGTTATTGTATAACTTGTACATATATTTATATAGAAATGTGCAACACAATTGTAGGTGATTGATGAGGTTTGGGGCCCATCTTGGTCATATGGCTGATAAATAGTCCAGCAAATAGGATTACAAGTATATGATCCTATTTACATAAACTTTTTAAGATCCACAAGCCAAACAGATCTGTACACCTGTTAGGATGACCTGCCTCCAAAGACTGATGGATCCAATTGTTTACAGAATGTTCTTGTTTTTTTCCCCAGCTGATCTAACTGGCACTCCTGCTGAAGTTCAGATTGCCTGTTAGTGTTCAGCAGTGACCTACAAAGTTCCTGATTGTGCTCGTCATTGCAGAGTCTGATCCTCACCATGGTTTATGGAAGAGTTGAGGGCGACGAAGAGATTGCTGGGCCCTTGTATGAATCATTAGTGGATCATTTAAGCCAACTTTCTGGAGTCTTATCGGCCACATGACAAAGACAGGCCCCAAAACCTCATCATTAGCCACAATTAGCTGTGACAAGTTATACTAACCTTATGATGATTTATTGTAGTCCAGCAATCATTACTGATTTTAAAATTAAAAAAAAAAAACTTCTGAGGTTGTGGGCTACTATGACTATAATTTACCATGGAAAAGCAGCATACAAATAAATTGATGATCATGATGATGGATCTAGATTTCCTGCGTTTCAAACCAACATTTTAATTGCTCTACCACACTGGTTCTCCACTCTAGCTTTAGTGCTGCAGGACAAGAACTGGGAAGTCCTAAGGCAGGCTCACCTGCAGGAATTCACTGGCAGGCTGCTGACACTTCTCTTCCGCCTCAGTGATTAAGGCATCAAGGCGATTAATCTCCTTTGATAATTTGGTGGCAACTCCATCCCTCTTCTGTACAATCTCCTTGTCAAATTTCTTCAGCATGATAATCAGGAAGTGCTCAATTTTTTCCAGGAACTCATGGATTTGGTTAAACTCTGCTTCCAACTTCTGTTTTTCAGTTTGTACATCATCCTGTAACAAACAAGCGGCTGGCTGGAATGGAAGAACTAACATATGGCTGAGATAACCCTGACCTCCTGGTATCAGCAGCCAAGTATAGGCACTGTTCAATATCTGCCTGGGGTACGAGGTTGCTAGAGAGGCCAGGCCCACCTGGGTGATCTCCTGAGAAGTGGG